CCCCCAAGTACTGTTTAGTGGCGTGAACAGGGCACGTGTAGGGAACTGAAGGCGGGTCAAGAGCAGGTGCTGATCACAGCACAGTAACTTTGCCACCATGGTGTACAGCATTCTTCTCCACTCAATGCTGCTGCTGGCCACCTCGAAAAATGTGATGACGTCCCAGTGGCTGTGGGTGCGACTTCTGGAGCGAAGACTGCACACGAGGGGGTCACAAATCCATGAACAAATGAAATTGGTAAAGAATGTCATTTCCCTGTAACTTTCTGATGCATCCTCTTCTAATCTTTCGCCGATTAAAGACAAGTTTTACAACGGTCATAAGAAGAATCTGCAGTTTCATTACATGTAATAAAAGCAAAGAAAACAACACATTCTATTTCAAAAACATTCTCTGGTTTGCTTTTATTTCAGGGTCCCCCAGGGGGTGTGACAGCCAGTGGCAGCAAGGGAGTGTGACCTGAGCTCCAAGATATGGCTGGACAGCCATCGCTCTTCCCCCAAGCGGGCTTGAAGGCCCACCCAGATGGCTGAGAGGGAGAAGTGGGGGAGAAAAGAGTTTACACCTGACAACCGTGTTCGGGAGCCTTAATTTAAGCTTTCTGTTCTATGAACGGGAGAGACAGGCGCAGACTTAAATAAATACGTTTATTCTGAAGGACGCTGTTATGCGCGGGCTGAGAGTAGTCGGCCTGCATTTCCCCCTCACAGCAGGCGGACGGATGGACAGTGGGGCGTCCTGCTGCCTGGACCCGGGAGGGAGCTACGGGAGAGGGGTCAGGCCTCTTTGACAGCCGCGGCGGGCGTGCGTGAGGGGACAGGGAGACAGACCCTCTGTGAGCTTTGCTAGTGGACTTTGTCCTGGAAAATGTACAAGTTGTTGGTGGCTGCGACGGCAACAATGTCGTCGGCAGGGTGCCAGCTGGTGTGCAGGATCTTGCTGCTGAAGTCCAGGCTGTCCACGCTGATCTCATCCCTCTTCCTCTTGCCCCCTGTGCACACCTTGCGCGGCTTGAGGAGGGCCCGAGGCTTGCTGTTCTCCCGAGACGCCTCCAGTGTGACGTCCCTGAGCGTGGTCCTCTCGAACATCCGGAAGAAGTTATTGTAGGAGCCAGTCATGATGGCGCTGTGCAAACGAGAGCAGGGAGGGCAGTAGCCCACGACTAAGCCAGCACACCCCATGCCCCAGGGGGCCGCACTCAGCGTTACAGTCATCTCTCTTCTCCAGGCACAGCAGCAGCAACGGGGCCAGAGGGCAATGTGCCAACAGAGACACAAACACCCTCCCCTCACTGCCACTGAGGTGATGCCGACTCCTGGGGCACCTAGAGGACAGGGTGGAACTGCCCTGGAGCTCTGTACAGGAGCAGAAGGCCTCCCTTTTCTCCCTTGGAGCGGCTGGTGGGTTCAATCTGCTGACCCTGTGGCTAGCAGCCCCATACGTCACACTACACCTGCCCCAGGAAACTGAAGAAAAGTATGTTTGCTGCCAGTGCCCGAGACCCTAGTCCACATCCACTGATGACGCCTGAGTGGACCGCCACTGCCCATTTGTATTCAGTCCCTTTCACGGCATTGGCTACGTTTTTTAAGTGTTTCCCCCCACTTCCTGACTGATCTGTAATTCTGTTCCTAAGGTCAAAACATATCCCTGTGTTAGTACTTGCTTTTGTGGGTTGAATTGTGACTGTTCTATGTTAGCATCAAGAAATTCAGAATTCCACGTGGCTGCACTTCTCGTTCCCCCAAGCAGCGGGCTCTTACAGCACGTTCAGATGCCCTTCCCTCTCCAAGAGCATCTCTGGTCACGCCGCCAGGCGGGTCAGCGCGTGGTGTAAGGGAGGGCTGGTCCCTGAGGCACCTCTATGCCTCCCCAGCTCCCGTGCCAGGCTCCGGGGACTGTCCCCTCAAGACTCCTCCCCAGAGAAGCGAGCAGTGCCCCTAAGTTGCAGC